CTTCTGTCTGACCATCAGTCTGAGGGTGATAGCTGGAGCTCATTTTAAGTTCAGTCCCCTGTAATTGAAATAGATTTTTCCAGAAAGAACTCATAAAGATTTTGTCCCTGTTACTCACAATTGAATTGGGAAACCTATGTAATTTTACAATGTGCGAGACAACTGTTTTAGCTACTGTCAAGGCTGTAAATGGGTGCTTTAGAGGGACAAAGTGGCTATATTTAGATAGCCGATCAACAACAACCATAATCACTGTGTACCCTTGTGAATGCGGTAATCCCTCCACAAAATCCATTGACAAATCAGTCCAAATTTTAGTTGGAACGGTTAAGGGTTGAAGTAGGCCTGCAGGGGTCATATAATCTGCCTTGAAACGTTGACATACACTACATTGGCGTAAGAATGTCTTGACTGATTTCCTCAAGCCTGGCCAGGTGAGACTTTGTTGGATGCGTGCCAAAGTCTTATGATATCCGAAGTGTCCACCTACAGATGACGAGTGCCCATCGACTAGTATAGCATGGAGTAGAGATGAATTAGGACTCAAGAATATTTTCCCTTTTCGAAACCACACCCCATCACGTTTCACATATTGATGTTTAGTTTGATTGGAACTCTCCTCCACCAGTTTATTATAGAAGGAATCCTGAAGTACCTCTTGTTGCAAGTACTTCTACCAATCAGCTTTTAGGAGAGAGATAGCTAAGAAGTTGACTTCTCCCACTCGTGACAATGCATCTGCCCCTTTATTCTCTTGACCCCAGTTGTACTCAATGATGTAGTCATACCCAAGAAGCTTCGATAACCAACGTGTTTGAGCAAGAGTAGTATGCGCTGTTCCATTAAAAATTTGAGGCTTTTTTGATCAGTTTTAACAACAAAAGGTCGACATAGAAGGTATGGCCTCCACTTGTGAATAGCTTTTACAATGGTGAGCATCTCTTTTTCATAGGTAGATAATGTGAATGCTGACCCCTTCAATGCCTCGCTGAAGAAGGCAATAGGCTGTCCCTATTGAGATAAAATAGCTCCAATGCCCATTCCACAAGCATCACATTCAACTACAAATTGTTGGAAAAAATCAGGAAGTTGAAGAATAGGAGGAGATGATAAAGCTTCTTTTAATTTGTTAAAAGCATTTTCTACTTCCAAATTCCAAGTGAACCCGTCTTTGGCTAATAGACGAGTCAAGGGAGCTGCAATCCCACCAAACCCACTAATAAATTTTCTGTAATACCCAGTGAGACCCAAAAATCCACGCACCCTTTGGCGATTGTAGGAACTGGCCATTCGGTAACAGCTTGAACTTTAGCAGGGTCGACTGCAACTCCTTTTTTTGATATGATATGCCCCAAGTAGTCCACTTGTCTTACTCCGAACTGGCATTTTGATTCTTTAGCAAATAGGCAATTAGACTTCAAAATTTGTAAGACAATATGTAGATGAGAAATGTGTTCCTGCCATGACTTGCTATATACCAGTACATCATCAAAGAAGACCAAAATAAACTTACGGAGGTAGGGCTGGAAAAGATCATTCATTAAACTTTGGAAAGTTGCAGGCGCATTAGTGAGTCTGAATGACGTGACAACAAATCCATAGTACCCTTCATGTGTGCGGAATGCGATCTTTGGTATGTCACTCTCATGAATCTGTATCTGATGGTATCCTGATCATAGGTCAAGCTTTGAAAAATATCTAGAGCCATATAATTCATCTAGTAATTCATCGATCACCAGATGAGATATTTATCCTTTATGGTGATGTCGTTGAGAGCTCTATAATCAACACAAAATCGCCAACTTTCATCGACCTTTTTTACCAACAATACTGGAGAAGAAAAAGGGCTTCGGCTAGGACGGATCAGCCCCAAGTGTAATAGTTCTTGAACCATTTTCTCGATCTCGACCTTTTCGTAATATGGATAATGGTAGGACCTAACATTGACTGGGCCGCTATGAGGTTGAAGCAGTATTTGGTGATCATGGATACGAGCTGGTGGTAGTTGAGATAGGGCTTCAAACACTTGCTTAAACTCCTCAAGAACATTATCAAGGACTGGGGGATGACCCTCTTGGTTTTTGGATGGGGAAAGGGATATTAATTGAAGGAGCAAGCTAGAACCACAGATATAATGACATTTCTTCTCACTGAGAGCCTCTAATCCTGCATGCTTTATACCTTGAAAAGTGTGAATGGTCCCACAATCTTGAAATGTCATGGTCAGGCTTTGGTAATTTGTTTCTACCGTTCCCAAAGTTGCAAGCCATTGAACTCCCAAAACTAACTGACAGGCAACTACTGGTAAAATGTAAAAATCAGCCTTAACTTGATATCCTTGAATGTCTAAAGGTATGGCCAGACATTTCCCTGTACAATCAATTTTTCCCCATTGGCAACCATGACTTGGAATATCTTATCACGAGTTACGGGTAAGCCACACTTTGTTACCAATGATTGATCCACAAAGTTATGTGTACTCTCCCCATCGATCAAGATCGTGATCTCTCTGCCCTTTAACTTGCCTTGGAGTCTTATGGTTTGGGGATGTTCCGTTCCAGCGATGGCATGGAAAGCAATTTCAGGCAGATTCCCTATAACTAATGGTTGCTGCTCGACATCTTGCAAGTCCTCTTCGGTGTCTATCATGCCTTCCATCATGAATAGCTGAGGTCGTTGACATCGATGTCCAGGAAGGAATTTTTCCATCACAATAATAGCATAGCCCCTTTTCCATACGTTCTCTGGCTTCTTGGCTTGTGATTCTTTTGAAGGGATTGTGATTGTTGTTTGGGCTGGTTCCTGATTTAAGCACAAGTGGGGACCAAGAACCCCAACTGAATTATTAGGCCCTAATTTTGGTTGTGGACCGAGCACAGAAGGACGAGGGAAGTTAGCTGATTTTCTTTATAAAAAGTTTCTTTCTTCAATTAACCTAGCAACGGCGATGGCATCTGAGAGTGTTCGAGGCTGTTTGATTTTTATGTCGAGCCTTATCTTGTCACATAATCCGGCTATGAAGCATCCAACAAGAAAGGATTTCGGCAGACCATTTACTCGGTGGGATAATTTCTCAAAAGCTTCTTGGTAAGCTGTGACAGTAGCGATTTGCTTGAGTCAAGTGAGTGCTTCAGAGGGGTCTTCATAATCTGTTGGCCCGAAGCGGAGTAATAATGCCCTGGTAAAATCTGTCCAGGTCACTGGTCCTTTAAACGTGGAATACCATCGATGTCATTGGAGAGCAATTCCCTCAAGATGAAAGGAAGCAAGTAAGACCTGTTGATCAGGAGTGACTTCATTGAAATCGAAATACTGTTCAGCTTTGTAGATCCATCCACTTGGGTCTTCTCCATCAAATTTTGGGAAGTTGAGTTTGAGATGGTGATTGTTATGGTGTGAAGATGGTTGAGGGTAACTGGCTGAAGGTCGGCCAATTTGATGGGATGATTCGGTCGAGGTGAACGGGTTTGTGTTTGGGTTATTGGCATGAGGAATTTGTCATGTTCGCAGGGTTTGTCGTTCTTACAAAATTGTCTGTAGCGTAGTGTGAGCTTCGTCAATACTGGATTCATGGCGTCCCAATATTTCATGAACTTCATTTCGAAACTCAGCATTGGACTGATTTCGAGTAGCCATAATTAACCAGAACTTGGACACTATAGGTTATGGGCTCTGATACCACTGATAAGTGAATTTTTATTCGACAGAAGAATAGAGAAGGAAAGAGATGAGAAGGGGAGAGAACAAAGTTGATGTAATTGTTGTTTTTATTTATTAACTTCTAATGGCTATTTATAGATCAATTACAATGTGATAAGCAAGTAACCCAACAAACTAATCTAGAATCAAGGAATAATAATTCAATTACAAACTAACAAGATAGAGTAAATAATCACAGGAGCTATTTTTAAGCAGCCACTACGTGTTCAGCACATTTCATGGCTTTTGTTATTCATCAGCTTTGGACTGGGTCTTCATGCAATCCATGCACACATCCATCTTCATGCAATCCATGCACACGTCCATCCATGCAATGCACACATCATAAAACTGAAAATATGATATGTGAAATGGAAAC